GAAGACTGAAGAAGAATTGATGCCTTTGAATTATGGTGTTGGTGAAGAATATTGAATATACCATGGACTGCCAAAATAATAAACAAATTTCTCCTGGAAGAAGTACAACCAAAATGCTCCTTAGAAACGAGGATAGTGAGACTTCGTCTTGCGTTGGGCATGTTATCAGAAGGGACCAGTCCCTGGAGAAGGATATCATGCTTGGTAGAGGGTCAGTGAAAAAGAGGAAGACCCTTGATGAGATGGATTGACACAGTGGCTGCAGTAATGGGCTCAAACATAACAATCATTGTGAGGATGGCACAGGACCGGGCAGTGTTTCGTTCTGTTGTGCATGGGATCACTGTAAGTCAGAACTGACTCAATGGCACCTAACAACAACCCCTCTCAGGGTCATAGGCAGGGAATGTTAGGGAGTTCACGTTTGTACAGTGTTTTATAGTTTACAAGGGGATGTCCCATTCTTCCATTTGCTCTTCTCAACAACAAACCTGCAATGTAGATCCTCTTTTACAGATGAAGGAATAGCGACTAAAATCTTCCTCTCTTGACTACTAGCCTAACGCTTGTTTCTTTTGCCTTGGCTCAGATGACCACCTCCTCTTACACTGATGGCTACAAGGTCTTCTCCTCTCTGGCCCTCACTTACCCTCGATCCATTCTCCACACATAACCGGAGTGGCTTTTCTAAAACATATACCTGATTACATCATTCTTCTACTTAAAACTCAAAAATGGCTTTCCATTACCTTTAGAACAAAGTCCAGACTCCTTAGAGAAGTGTGCCAGGTCCTTCTCCACATGCTGGGTCTCACCTGCCCCTCTCCACTCTACTACTCAGATAAAACTTTTGTCCATATCAAATACATTTCTTTTTCAATAAAACTCTTAAACATTGTCTTTGTTGCATACTGCTTATAGTGCATTCTTTTAAAATGGCAAAAATGAACACACTCATTAGCAGACTTAAATAGATATACATTCTTCTTCTTGTGGCATAAAAAGCCAAAGTATAAAAGCTTAAGTTATGACAAATATCTATTAACTCAATTTAATATCAATATGTTACATAAAATGTCTTGGGAGTTATTTTAAGCCTTATATACATAACTGTTGTTGAAAGAAAGTCTGTTTAAATATTCTAATTGTCATTTAACTTTTACTATTTCTCATTATTTTTCCCAGTCTAATTTTAGCCCTTAAAGATTTTATTAACTGGCTTTGGAAATCACAAAGTCTCTCCTCAACTGACCAATTCATTGATATGGATATAATCTTAAGTCTCTAGTTACTGCTGAAAACATTTTTCCAGGCCATTTCAAGTGTGTCTTATTGTGATTTCTTTCTTTTTTGGGGTGACTTCTTAGAGTTCCCGTATAATAGAGAGAACTTTTTTACAATTCTTTTATGACTAGGATCCACTCAATTTCTTATAACTGTAGCAAAGCAGCAATTTTTCTAATATAAAAGGTATCCACCTAGTTGAAAAAGGTCTTTCAAAAGCTTCCCTGGAGGTACATGACCTTGGAGACTGGGGGCTGGGGGCTGAGGAGGCCTGATCTTGCACCGCCCTCACTCTCTTGACTCATAGAAGACATTTATATATGTTTAAGTTGACCTAGGCATTTTGAAGGGCAAAAGGTAACTAATTTCTTTCTTTTTTACTATTCTGGAACTATTACTTTTACTTTAAGACAAAATTATTCTTTTCCCCTTAATAAAACACATTTCATATAATATTTAGCTTAGGTTACTTCCTATTCTGGGCCCCCAACCTCCTTGGAGATGTTTTTCTTAGAACTAAAAAAACTGGAGCCAAAAATATTTGTTAATTTGGTGACAGGTTTTATAAAGGTACGGGTTAACGTGATGACAACACAAGAACACTGGGACTTCACAGGGACAAGTACACATAAATAACAGTAAACAAACACAAAACATGATCCCACTGAGACGATGAAGGTAATCTCAGCAGCCTCAACCTCTCAAGACAACTCCCACCGGGTGACAGAGGTGATCTTAGCAACTTCAACCTCCCAGACAATCTCCAAGGAATTTGCACACCACATGCTATGAATAGACAAAAAAATCCTGAAAAGAAATGATGGAGATAATCTCAGCAGCCTCAACCTCTCAGACAACCTTTTCAGGTGACAGAGGTAATCCTAGCAACCTTAATTCTCAGACAGTTTTCAGGAGCATTCACACACCCTGGACCCAAGACTGCAGAGTCACCAAGAGTCCCTTCTTGCAATCCTACTCCTACTTCGGTCATTTGAGGCATCTTCTACCTCAGAAACCAAGGGCTCAGGTCCTGCTCCAGAACCCTTGGGCCTGCCCTATTCCACCTGGCCCTGAGCACAACAGGGAGAGGAGTCATGGACTCACCTTGGGATCCCTCCTATGCAGGTCTTGCTTTCTTTCACCCACCTCTTTTGGTGCAGTTGGGGACCAGCGGTGCCGTGGCAGACTCAGGTCTGGCCGATAGTCTCCCCAGAGGCAAATGAAACCTCTCATGGCCACTTGTCGGGAGAGGTGTCGGTCAGCCCCAGGCCCTGCCTTGGGGCCGCCGCGTCACACCGGACCTCCCCATAAGGGCCACCAGATTTATTATCACAATAACACGGATTGGAGCCACCTGCCCCAATAGTCAATTCTGAGACAGGGTTGAGGTGAGCAGCAAGAGTTTTATCATATATCGGTATATAGGAGACAGAGGGGAATAGATTCCTCCAAAAACCCATCTCCCCAACTGGAGACTGGCCGAAGGCTTTATATGGGCAGGATATGGGTCTTGGAAGTTTGTGTTAGTTCCCCCTTGAGGTGGTCACATCCCAGATGAATTAGTCTTCTCTTGGGGCTTATCTGGCGACATCCTGGTTTTCTTGTCACAAGATGGGTTCTTTGTTTGGTTTTTCATTCCTAGATCATTATCACTTGTTTTCCACCCTCCAAGGAGGAACATTGGTTAATCTTAAACTTTTCATAGAGACTGGAACAAGAGGGAAAAACAAGATCGTGAGACAATGCAGGGGTTAGCAATGGGGAGTAATAATAGTGAGCTGGACCTATGCAGCCTCTTCCACAGTCTTCTCTTCTTCATGATATGAGATCAAATGGGAGCTTCCATCTTCTTACATGAGCTCTGATTTTGAATACTGAAAGCAAAAAAACCAAACCCATTGCTGCTGAGTTGATTCGACTCATAGTGACCCTATAGGACAGAGTAGAATTGCCCCCTAGGGTTTCCAAGGAGTGGCTGGTAGATTCGAACTGCTGACCTTTTGGTTAGCAGCTGTAGCGCTTAAGCACTGCACCACCAGAGCTCCTGCTTTTGCATAGTGGGCACATGATCCAAGCAGGGCCCATCATATTACATTGCTCCCTGGACATCAGTGATTGGCCCAAAGCATATCTGGCCCAAGTTGGGCCAATCGGCGTCTTCTCGGAACTTTTCAAATTTTTCAAATTAGCTGAGAGAAACACTTTCCTCTTTGGAATGGGTAAAGATGAAGCTGGGAGAATGTAAACCAGGAGCTGTATAGACCCACCAGAACCCCCCTCCCACAGCTCCAAGCTGAGCCCCTTTCAGGAGATCCCCTCCTGACTAGGCCTTGGCCAAAGCTAAGCTCTGGATGTAGGGACTCTCAAGGAAGTGGGCTGAGTAATGGAACAAAGGTGAGAAACAATATATGGCCACTCATCCTGAGCTGCTCTCAGAGGAGGGCCCAGCTATATAAAAAAGCTGATGTCTCCCCTTCCACAATTCTCCTACTCCTGAACTGTCCCCCCTGCTTTCTCTGAGGTCCCTCATGCCTTGCTGTGCCTGTTCTCTCATGCCACAGGCCTCGAACCCTCTGTGGCAATCCCGGGGCTCCACCACTGTGTCTTCAGGAGGCCGTTTTCGCTGCCCATCTTGCAGGCATGAGGTTGTCCTCGATCGACATGGTGTCTATGGCCTGCAGCGAAACCTGCTAGTGGAGAACATTATTGACATCTACAAGCAGGAGTCGTCCAGGTGAGCCGCAGGGGGCTCTTGACTCTCTGAAGGCCAGGGTCTACGACACAGCCAGGAAAACCATCAGGGCCAGAAGGGAGGAATTGAAACTATCAGTTTCAGTTTAGAGAGGAGAGGACTGGACCCAGGGAGGGAAAAAGACTTGCCCCAGGTCACCTTCACCTCCTGGGAGGGGATGGGAATCCACCTGCAGGTCTTTACCTACCCTCCATGATTTCCTCCTGGAATACAGACTGTTCCTGGATCCAGGCCTCCTCTATCCATTCCCCAAACTAAAAGCACCCTGGAAGGCCCTTATCTGCCCAGGCACAGAGTGCAGTCTTGGGTCCCACCTCTCCCCAGCCTGGCCCATGACCCACCTGCCTCCCCTTCTGCCCTGCCCCCTCTAGACCACTGCACTCCAAGGCTGAGCAGCACCTCATGTGTGAGGAGCATGAAGATGAGAAGATCAATATCTACTGCCTGAGCTGTGAAGTGCCCACCTGCTCTCTCTGCAAGGTCTTCGGTGCCCACAAGGACTGCGAGGTGGCCCCACTGCCCACCATTTATAAACGCCAGAAGGTATCAGGCTGGGAGGGAGCAGGCGTCTGGAGGGTGGGGGCACAGCACAAGGTCTCAAACTTCAGCCTCTTATTCCACTTGGTTTGAAGTCAGGTAAATCAGGGCTAAAGTCACAGCTCTATCCTTAACTCCATGTGTGACCTTGGGTAAGTTACTTGACTTCTCTGACCATTGTTTTCCTCATTTAGTAAAATGAGGATAAAAATACATACTTCTGAGAGTCATTATGAGGATAAAATTAGATACAGAGACTTCAGTATGGTGGATACTCTCATGGTCCTCTCACTACTACAAAACTAGACTCTGCATAAGACATAATTTTTTAACCATATTGGTAAGCGTAAAGGAAATCTCCAAATTTGAGGGAGGGTGGAAAGGAGGTGGTAGTGAGCGGAAAACAGAGTCCTGAGTGGTAAGCACAGGAAAGGCAGCATATCCCAGAGGGCAAATGCTGGCACTATCCCTGCGAGAGGGGGACTATGTCTGAACACCCTTAAAAGGCAGGGGACCTGGATCTGAGACTCACAAGACTAAAGTGGAATCCCAGCAGCTAAAGTGGGTGGTTGCACCACCTGGCTTTTGACAAAAGCAAATACTGTACAAATTATGTCTGGAGGAGAGCACCCTTAATTTAGGCCCTTAGGTTTTCCATAGAGTAAGATCAATAAAATATTAGCTCACAATTGAAGATACACAAAGAAATGTACTCCATGAGTAAAGTCAGAAGAAAGAAAAACAGCAGATTTAGACCCCTGAGGAATTCAGATACCAGAATCATTACAGAATAGAAAAATCACTATCAATAAAATGCTTTAAAAAGATGGAATAAAAAAAAGCAACAATAGACTATCAAAAATGATCATGCAGATTTGACAAAGAACCAAATAGAGCTTTTAGAAATGTAAATGTAATTGTTGAAATAAAGCACTGAAAAGATGAATAAAACCACAGATTCCTCTAGAGTATTAGTGAACAGGAACAGAGGACTGAAAAGATTACACAGAATGCAGCACTGAGAGATGAGAAGATTGAGAATGAGAAGGTCTAACATATGTCTAATCAGAGTCCCAGAATGAGAGAATTAAGGGAATGGAGAAGAGGCAATAGTATCCAAACAAATAATGGCTAAGAAATTTCTAGAACTGATAAAAGACATAAACCTACAGATAAAGCACCTAGCAGTGTCTGGCTTATAGTGGATGTTTGGAAAATGTCTGTTCCTTTTTCATTTAGTCGTAGAGGGCTTCCTCTGTCTACCTCCTTCCAGAACTCATAGGAGGTGCTTCTACACTTCTTGGATATTTCTACGTCCCCTAGATCTCTGTAATAGCTGTCCTGAAGATGCCCTGATGGTGCAGTGGGGGGTGGGAAGCCTCTCCTGGGCAGCCCTGGTTGGGGCTGGAGAGGTGCAGCTCTAGGCCAGGCCCTCCAGCTCTAAGTGCTGGCCTGTGTGTCACAGAGTGAGCTCAGTGATGGCATCGCGATGCTGGTGGCAGGCAATGACCGTGTGCAAGCAGTGATCACGCAGATGGAGGAGGTGTGCCAGACCATTGAGGTGAGCCTGGGCCTGGAGGGAGGAGGGAGTGGCCACTGGCTGACCTGGAGACCCTGGGCTCCCAAGAGGACTGCCACTCTCTGCCCTTCTCTGACCCCCACTTGCTGGAGAGTTTCTGGGCTCCTAGAGATGAACCACACAAGTAGTGGGATATACTTAGCCAAGCTGCTAGGTTCGAATTCCAACTCTGCCACTCACTAGCGCTGTGACTGGTAGTTACTTCTCTGTGCTTTGGTTTTGTTGGTTTAACCATATGAAACAGTTCTAATGATAATTCTATAGTAGCTACCTCATTGGTTCTTTGTGAGAGCGATTAGTGAAATTACTTTTAAAAATTGTGTTATTATTACTGAAAAGATCTGGGAACCAGCAGCCCTTGGCTGAAGTTTCTGGCTCTGCGACTAACTCGTGGTGTGACCGTGGACAAGTCACTTTCTTTCTTGACTCTCTCTGACTTCCGTTAAGTGGGGGACTGGACAAGTAGGGAAGGGACTCTCCCAGCTGTGGGGTCTCAGCCACACGTCCCCTCATCCTTGCTCCCCATGTTCCAGGACAACAGCCGAACGCAGAAGCAGTTGCTAAACCAGAGATTTGAGACCCTGTGCGCGGTGCTGGAGGAGCGCAAGGCCGAGTTGCTGCAGGCGCTGGCCCGGGAGCAAGAGCAGAAGCTTCTGCGTGTCCGCGGACTCATCCGCCAGTACGGAGACCACCTGGAGGCCTCCTCTAAGCTCGTGGAGTCCGCCATCCAGTCCATGGAGGAGCCGCAGATGGCGCTCTACCTCCAGGTGGGCCCTGGGAGGGCAGCAGCGCCGCCTAGTGGCTGGAGTGGGGGCCTTGGCACCTGGAGACCCGGGTTCTAGTCTTTTCTCACCCCTACCTACCCTTACGACCTTGGGACCTTGGGACCTGAGTCTGAAATTGGGATATACATCCCTTCTACCCCGCGGGAGGGAATCTGAAACTCGGCTTTGTCAGGGCTGAGCGCGGTGCTTACTCTTACTCTCCTTTTCTTCCCTGCAGCAGGCCAAGGAGCTGATCAATAAGTGAGTCGGCGGAGAAGGAAGGGAAATAAAGGGGAAAGGAAGGGCTGGGAGGACCCCACTGACAGGGAGGGGTTCAGGGTGCTCGAGTGTTTCCTGCTGAGCCCCTGCGGCCGCTGCAGGGTCGGGACGATGTCGAAGGTAGAGCTGGCGGGACGGCCGGAGCCGGGCTATGAGAGCATGGAGCAGTTCACCGTGAGCGTGGAGCACGTGGCAGAAATGCTGAGGACCATTGACTTCCAACCGGGTGAGGCAGCCAGGGAGGTAGGGAGCGGCGGGCGCTGGGACTGAGCGTCCAGACCCTCAGGGTGGGGGTCGGATGGGGCATGATGGCCAGAAAAGCAGGGACTCCACCTCACTGGGGCTTCCTTCGGCCCAGGTGCTTTAGGGGAGGAAGAAGATGAGGAGGTAGTGTTCGACGGGGAAGAGGGCAGCGCCGGGCCAGAGGAAGAGCGGCCGGACCCGCCGGACAGTGAGTACCCGAGGGGCATGGGGGCGGGATCTGGCAGGCACGCTCTTATGTGCTCCTCCCGTGATGGCGCTCCCTGTGGCACCAGGGGTCACTTGGAGCAACCATTCATTTTAAGTGCCACCCTACCCCCAAACCGGCGAGGGGTGCACCCAGCGCGCACGCAAATGTACACTTTCCCACCTGCCATTCCTTTGGGGTTTTGGGAGACCAGCTGGGTCGGCACCTGGGAGAGAAACTCACGTGGCTGGGGGAAACAGGCGAAATGGGCTTCGGGGGGAGGGGGGTGGGTTGCCTCTTTCCTTTGGAGCACCCGCCCACCGAACTTCTTTTCCCTGACCCAGACCTGCACTGACCCGACCCGTGTTCGGGATCCTGCGCGCCCCAGGCCTGGCACTCGGGTACCAGAGGTTCTGTGCAGAGACCACCGCGCCACACCCAGCTCGGCGCCCAGCCAGGGGAACGGGGCTCAATAAAGGACTTTTGCGTACCAGATTTGCATCTCCTTTCGCCCCCACTCCCTCAGCATCGGCTCGAAGGCAACCCCACCACCAACCCCCCCCCCTTCCGGGAACGGGGACCGTTTGCGGGCGGAGGCGGAATGAACACCTACTGGGCAGCTCTCTGATGTCCGGTACGGACTGCGAGCAGAGAGCCTGGGAAGAGGGTCCGGGTGGTGCGGTGGTGCTCGGGTTTGAGTTCCCGGAAGGACTGGGGGCAATGGGGACCCCAGGAACCTTGCTGAAAGCCCTCCTGCAGCATTTAGTTCCCTCCTGCCGGCCTGGGAGGCCCCACTTTTCCCCAAGTTCCCGTCCTGCTGTGGTTCCCTGCGCCCCCATGACAGAAGCCAAAGGCTTGTCAGTACTTTTATTAAAAAATAGTAACGCGGAGAGTGTTCAGGGAATCCCTGGGCCATTCAGTCCCCGCGGGACTTGGTCAGTTCTGGTCACACACGTCCCGGCCCGGGGAGTGAGGGATGGGGATCAAGGTTCTCGTCGCCGCAAATCGGAACGATCACTTGCCCACCGAGTCGAAAACGATGCGGTTCTGCTCGGCGCGCTCCCGCTGACTCTCACTTCGCGCCAGCTCCAGCAGGGTCCGCAGCAGGTGAAAGGTGAGATCAATGGACAGTGCTGGGTCGTCCCGTCGCGGCCGCTCGCCCGCCGTCCGGGATCCCCATGGGCCCGGCCCTGCGCGGCGCCGGAAGCGCTCCGCCAGCAGCAAGAGCGCGCCGGCCCCACCGCTCTGGCCCCGCGTCCCGGGGCTCCATCGCAGACTCGGGCCCTGGACCCCGGCCGCCGCCGCCTCCGGGCTCCAGCGGCTGTTCCCAGGGTGTAGCTGCGCCAGGAGCAGCAGCGCCGCCAGCAGCGCCGCGTGTCCCGCCTGCCTCATGGTGCCGCCGGCCCTAGACACACAGGGGCAGGGCAGGGTGAGGCGCACCTGGGGCAGCCGCAGAGGGAGCCACTCTCCTTCCGCACCACGGTGGACCCCCGCTGCCAGCCCCTCCGGCTGCCGCCGGCGCCCACTGCCTTCCCTCCAGCCCTCTCCCACCCTCCCTCCGTCTTTGCGGTCGCGGTGAGTGAGCTGAGCGCAGTCCTGATGCTGAGGGGATCAGGCGGACACTCCGAGCCACTCACAGGGTATCGCAGAGCGTGTGCACGGTACAAGATGCAGCTCCAGTCTCTGTCCCCAGGGGCGGGCTGTGGGCGCCTTGGGGAGAACGGGGTCTGTCCCGGGACCGCCGCCAACCTTATATAGTGCCAGGGCAGCTCCGACTGACGTCAGCGAAGAACATGCACTGATTGTGGAAGTAATCACGGCCGCAGCTTGAGTCCCGCAGGCTGTGAGCCCCTCGATGGGCGCGCCCCCGGACATAAAAACTTCCAGTCTCTGGAGGAGAGCTGGAAGCAGCGCGGGAATGCGGCACGGAACTCCGCTTGGGCGTACAGATTATTCTGGGACACACAAGAATCCTTCGCCCTGCTTAGAACAGTTAGCCCAAACCCAAGCGAGACTAGCCCGGAGAAGCGTCTTCCCTATCTAGCACAAGAAAGGGAGGCGGGACCTCGGGGCTGTCCATGGTGCTGACCTGTCCTCTCCATCTAGAACGGGCCTGAGGCTGTACTCCTTCGACTCTGTCCCTAGCCCCAGCTATCAGTTTCACAAACTGAGGCTATCAGGAACGCACTGCTGACACTCAGCTACCGCGCACTGCTGACACTCAGCTACCGCCGTGGGACCCAGCCAGAGGAGGATAAGACACCGGGTCTGCTGCAGCTGAAGTCTGCAGGATCCTTACCTTCTACTCCCAGAATCTAATTCTAAGACTGCCTGACTGAGGCACCATATAAGAGAGCCTCTTGCCTCAGGGAGCTTTTAAACAAACAAACAAAACCAGCCCATCTGCTTCTAAGTTTGCCCAAGGTGGTAACTTAGCCAAGTTTAATTTTGCTCTTGGGAACCAAAACATCAGCATTACACACATCTGACCTTCAAGTAAAGATCATTGGGTACAAAGTAAGGAAACTTGAGTTCAAGTTTCTAGTTTGCCACTAGCTCATGATGTGACAGGTCATGTCACTTCTATGGGACTTGGTGTCCTCATTTGTAAAAGAAGATTGGACTTGGTGGTCTCTGGGCTTCTTTCCAGCTCTAGAAATTTTCACTCCCCAATAGTTTTCCGATACCCTTACTTGTTGACTCTGCAGGTACTAGACTACATACTTAATGTATTCACAGGGTTGGAGGGGTCCCCAAAGAGCTGAAGCTACACTAGGGCTGTGTACACAGAGCAAGGAGGAGCATTTACTGGGATGCAGGCGTGAACTAAAGGTGACAAGATCAAGACAGTTAAATACTTAAAAAAACCAAACCTACTGCCGTCGAGTTGATTCCAACTCATAGTGACCCTATAGGACAGAGTAGAACTGCCCCTATAGGGTTTCCAAGGAGCGGCTGGTAGATTCAAACTGCCAGCTTTTTGATTAGGAGCCGTAGCTCTTAACCACCATGCCACCAGGGTTTCTGTTAAATACTTAGGGAGTGCCTATTACGTGGCAGGTATAAGGTCATTAGAAAGGTTTTTGTGATTTCAAGAGGAGTCAGTTTACATTTTAAAGTGAAATGGGCCATTTCAGAGTGCTAACCCCATTAAGTTCTGACCAGCAACCCAACCCCATGAAAGCATCAAGGAAGTGGTCTGACCCATTCCAGGGTCAAGCTGAGTCACTGCAAGGCAGAAACAATGGAGGGAGGCAGGCTTAGAGATGATGCGCCTTCCAGGACAGGTAGGAGTTCCAGATAACAGCAACACACTGGACAACGGCCAGCCTAAGGAACAGGAGTGGAGAAGAGGAAGAATAAGGAGGAAGCAAGGGGTAGAGAGATGGGAAAGGAAACGGAAAATGCAACAGGAAAGGAGGGATTATCTCTGAGAACTTCCAGAGTTTAGGTCTCTTTCCTTCAGCCCCTCATGGAGGGCCTGTGTGGCAGAGACCAGAGAACCACCAGCTCAGAGCTCTGTCCTCCCTCTGGCCATGAGTGGCTCTGTTATTCACCCCTTGTTCAGGTCCTTTCTAAATACATTTATCTGCCTGTCTATACCAGCTGAGATTTCATACTCCAAAAATGGACTGTCTGCATATAGACTGGCACCTCCTTTACTTTATTTTAAATTTACCTTGTTCTTCTTTGAAAGAGTGTTGCCAGGGATCCTGATGTTTAGGATTTTATTCATCAATCTGTATTCTGTTTAGTGAGGCTATTCATGTAAATTCTGTCCACGTCCCACATGAATAGCTTCATATTCTTTCCTTTTCCCAAAGCCCCTCACCTCCAATCTTTTAACTCTCATCTTTAGTTACACTCTATTTTTTATTGTGGTCCAGCAACTACCTTTCTTATTAGGACAAAATAATACTTTGCAGTGGACTAACCTGACCAAGTTCCTACTTGGCTTTTAGATCTACCTTTCTGTCTAACCTAGGCTGCAGACCACAGGCACTGTCCCTGGAGATAGGCCATCAAAGGTGGAAAACTCAGGTGGGATGGAGGTAGGGGCCGTGGAAACAGGATCCTCCCTAGGAAAATGAAAGGAGGTCAGCAGCTGAGACACTCAGCCAGTTCTGTCAGAGGGAAGGGGTCCTGAACGCAAGGCCTGGGAGTCTGAGGAGCTCTGATCGGTGCACAGTGTTCTGGTTGGGAGCGTAATGAAATGAGAATCACTGTCTCCAACTGTCCACAATATGACTCTTCCTTGAAGGGTGGGGCAGGGATCTGTCCTACCTGTAATGAACGGGCACCAGGTAGAAGTTGGCTAACTGCACAGCAGGCCAGAGCTGCAAGAGAGAGAAGGTAAAGGTTGGGTGGCTGCCTCTATCACCTGACCCCTAAACTCACTGCCTTGCCTGGCCTCACCCCAACTTGTGCACGCAAGAAAAAGGTGGACAATTGGGTGAGTGCTTCCCTAAGTGGTGCCCACCCTGGGAATGCAGGAGTATTCCTGACTAGAGGATTTCTATGTCGGGAGGACCCCTCTCCCCGGCACCTCTGGACTTAGGGAAGCAAGAAGCAGGCAGCTGAGTATCAGCTCTTACATAGTAGTTGGTGACGAGGGCATCAGGGTAATCCTGAGAAGACAGAGAAGGAACGAATGAACACTTGCAATTCCAAGCAGCTCCCACCTCCAGTGTGAACATCACAAAAAGATACCCGCCAGTTCAGAGCACATGCCCCACTCCGCACGCCTCTCGGCTCCTCTCCTCCAGAGCCTGGGGCTCTCCCTGCACTCCTACCTTCCTTATCTCCACAAAGCCCGCCTCATGCCCCTGACGCTGCCCATCTGCCAGCCAGCAGACTGCCCGGCTCACCCGCTGCAGTTTGGCCCAATTGTCCTGGGCTGAGAGTCCACTGAGTATCCCTACCAGTGGGAGGAAACAGCCCAGAAAACACGGGGCAAAGCCCCCCTAGGGAAGAAAAATTAAAACTCTATGAGCATGGATTTCAGAAACAAGTATCTCTAAATTCCTCCTTTCCCCCAACACAGCTCACCCTTCCCGGTTCCCTTTTCTTTCTGCTCACCTGATCCAGTAGCATCTTCTTTAGGGCATCTACCTTGGCACTGCCAGGGATGAGCCGATCCAAAACTCTGTACCAGCCTCCTAAGACAGGGCCCTGAAAAGAAGCCCAAGACAAATGGGGGATGAGGATGCAAGTAAGGAGAGACCCTGGCTTTTAAATCACAGATCTCCTCCCCCAAGCATTAGAAACCAAGTCCCAGGAGAGCAGAGACCCAGGCAAAAAGAGGAAGGCAGGGTGGCACAGGCGTGAGAGAGAGGCCAAGGGAAACCAACAGGTGACATGGAATGCAGACCACTGTCCAATGCACTGGCAGCCCCGCTGTGGGGAACAACTTACCACAAAGCCACAGCCCAGAGATAACATGGTCAGGGTCCGGCCGGCCTGGTGTCCCTGCAGGCCCCGCCTCTCCACCAGCTGCTGTGAGATAACATCACCCAGACCCATCAGGGACCCTGTGCAGGGTACAAGGTGTTGTCAGGACATCTCCTGAGGATGGAAGTGTTTCCTAATGGTCCTCACTGGGCTTCCATTCCAAGAGGGAAGCAAGTCTGCTGGCTGAATGAGGCTCTTGGGATCCACACTCTGAGCCCACAGGCTTAATTCTGGGGGCAAATGACCAGTCTCTTCCTGCTGCCTGAAGGCTCTCCTCTCCCAAAGGGTGGTGACAGCTCATGTGTGTCTTGCTAGAAACTGGGATGAGCAGGCCTTGAGCAGGCCAGAGCCCAAGAGCTTTGCACTGAACAGTAAAAGGAGTCAGAAACTGTAGAAAAAAGAATCCAAGGCCCCAGGGGAGCTGAAAACTACAGACTTTCAGATTGGAAACGGCCTTCTAGATAATTTCATCCAAACCCCTTATTTACAGGTATAGAAACAAAGGTCCGGAACCTCATAAAACCAGGGCAAGAACCAGTGGCTTGACTCCTGGACAGTGTCCTTTCTAGGACCCCACACTACAAACAGATCATATGGAAGATGGAAAGGGACCCTGGGTTTTTTCCCCAGCCCAATGCAGGGCCTTGACAACGTCCTTCACTTTGGTCTTGGGGACTCTATTTGTAGAGAACAGCAAGGATAACTTTTTCTAAAACATTAGTTGTCAACAGTTCCAGGCAGGAAGATGACTTGGTTGAGCTGCTAAGAGTCTCCCCCAAGGAAAAGTCCTAGCCATCTCTTAGGATAATCAGCAAAACCCAGATTTCCCCATTCACAACCTTAGACTGAGTTGGCAATGGGTATTATAGCCACTGTCCCCTAGGCCTTTGCAGCTACTTCCCCCCGGCTCCAATCAGCTGTAGTCAGACACCTACACCCAGAAACCAGGGCAGAAATCACTATTTACAGAGCGCCTCGTCAGTTGTGGTGGCGTGATGGCTTCCAGCAAACATACACTTTTAACGCCACTTGGAGAGTGATCGTCTGATCTCCGGCTCACCTATCTATCTCACTGAGTAATGAGAGCCCCCCTCCAGCCTTGCAGCCACCATGTCTTTGTGCCCTCAATTAGCACTGGGCAAACACATCCTCATCCCCACTCCTTGGCTGGGGCTGGCTCTGATGTCCATGCTGGCTGTACACTTGCTGCTCTGCTCTTCCCCCACATCCTCTGCCCAGCCCTGCACCTAAGCCACCTAGTCAGAGGCGGCTGGCTAAGGCTGGGAGCTAGGACTGAGGCTGGGCTGGGGTACCCACAGGTGACCCGGGCCGCTGGCCTCAGCTGATGGCACTCCCAGCCATGGAGCAACTCTGGGCCACCCTGGCACACCCATCAAGGCAGCCCTGAACCTCCCAAAATGGTAGAGGTTCTTCCCATAACACTGCTAGACACGACCTCCTAGAGGGTAAGGGTAGGATCCCAGACAGTTGTTTTCGTATCCCCCAGCACACCTAACCCAGCCCCTGATAGGTGTTCAAAAAACAAATGACGGAAAATGTCAAATTTACTGCTTCAGTGAATGGGACTGCTCTGGGAAACGGCATGGAGAACTCTTAAGTCCAAAGGGCCACATGTCACACTCAAGGTGTGAGGACCATATGGAACTTGAAGGTTTGCCCCCTACCCAACCCTTGCAGTTAGCATGTAATCCCCTATCCCCTCCCTCACAACCTGGGGTCACCAGGGCTACTCGGGCAAGTGACAGAGATGTTGCAGCCATGCATAAAGGAAAGGATGGCCCTGAGGAGAGTGAGGATGATGGAAGAGCAGTCACTTTCCAAACGAGGGGACTATCCACTATTGTTTACAGAGGGCTTTCATACATTCAGTCCTCACAAAAGGTCTGGAAGTTAGGTTTAATGATAAAGAAACAGATGAGGTGACTTGGTAAGGAGTGGAGTTGGGACCTGAACCCAGGCCCTGTCTCCAGGAGGAGGAAGGAGGCCAGGCTGCTCCAGGCACAGGTTAGACAGGCTCAGAGGCCAGTGTGCCAAGAGGCTCCTGTGGCTGCTCCTCTGCAGAGGTTTCTGCCCAAACAAGGCCCAAAGTCAAGGCACTTCCTAGACTAATGCACTTCCTCTGTCTTTTACTACCCAGAACATGTTCACCTCTGTTCCTTGTCACCTTGTAGGGAGGGCAGGCAGCAATATTCCCACTTCTCCATTTGACTGGGAAAGAGTCACAAAGAGAGGTGTGTTTTCATGTTTATGTCTTGCTTGCCAGCAGTCACAGAGCAGAGCTGGAATGAAAACCCAAGCGCCTGACTTCTAGCCCCACAGTTTTGGAAGCCTCATTCTTTGAAAGTTGGATTCTAAGCCCCTCAAACCATGCCCCCAAGCTTGATGCCTCCAAAGTGATAGGGCAGCAGGAAGGGGTAAGCAGGGGTGTGTAGCTGTCACCCCTGCTGGTTCTGTTCATTTCAGATGGAGCAGTGCCCAAAGGTTCCTCTTCGGCCCACAGAAGATCAGCTCCCCTGCATTTCTGGCCCAAGTGGTCCTTTGAGCAGGAAGGGATTGGACATTCAGATTCTTCATCCCACCTTCTCCAACTGGCGGCCCAAACAGACTCAGTCATCCAGCCTCTAGAGTCTGCTTGGACATATTTGGTTAGTTTGGATTGTCTAATGCTCTGAACCTGGGAGTTTGGTTCACTTCTGGGGGCTGGGGTTGGAGGCCTGCAGAGACATAGTACGCAAGGCCATGATGGGGCAGGATGAGGGGCTACCAGGCAGTGATGCCCCAGTGCCAGGCTGGGCGCAGAGCCCAGCAGGCAGACGCTGGCGCGGTGTGACATCATGCCCCTGGGTAGGTGCCAGCTCTCATGTGGTCACTCACCACCAGATCCAGTGGAGTAGGGGGATGTAGGGCTTGTCTCTGAGCACAGATCTCCTTGGGACCACCCTCTATGCACTAGTGGAAAAGCCCCAGCTCCCACACTCTCTTCCCAGGCATGGGTGGGGGTAAATTCCCCACTTCCCTTATTTTGTTCCTTTCCTGGCTTTTGTGTGTGGAGTCTTAGATGTAAGAAAATAAAGAATTAATGGAAGATGAGAAGGCAGAGGGACAGGAAGTGGCTTTTGAGATGAGGAGCAGAAGTGTGTCCTTCAATACAGGAGGTCTGGGTGGGCAGGTATAGCTTCTGGCATGGGGCCAGCAGTGCTGCCAACTCATTCCTCCCTGATTAAAAGGCTGCCAGGGGCAGGGGCTTAGTCTGGTGCAGAGCCCAGAAGCAGCTGAAGCCCAGGAGTGAGGGGAGAAAGGGCATCCTCTGGAATTCACACCACCCTTTGGGTGTGAGACCTGCTCTCCACTCCTGGCCTGACCCAGCCTACTGCTTGACAAGGAGACAAGATGGACAGTCCTGCAGCTTGTCAGGTATTTAAGTCCTGACCAACTGGGGCCACACCCAGCACTGAGACCCCAACAGCCTCAAGTCAGGGAAGTGGAGTGGGGGGTGCCCTAGGTTTACTGCCAGTTCTACTACTGACCACATGAGACCTCAGTGCATGTCATCCCCTCTGGCCTGTTTTCTTCTGTAATATCAGGTGCTGGACTGGATGGCCTCCAATGCTTGTTGAGCTCTCATATCCTGCTCCAGGCAGACCAGTGTCTGTAGGAGCTCATCTGTCCCCACAGGAGGACCGAGTGGTCTGAGATAGGTAGAGCTGGGCCCTGGGCCTACTGGAGACTGAAAGGGCCCTCAAGAAAAGAAGATAAGACTGAGTCACTCTCTACAGAACATGCAGCAGCCCCTCCCCTAGGCTACCTGTTCCTGATTCTGGCTTGGCCAAACTGGGTATATCGGACACTTCTTATGTACCATTTCAGATCTTCTTGACTTCACCTATCTCACTCTAGCCGCAACTGCAGCTCAGCTGGAGTGATCCTTGCCTCAGGCTATGCCACACTGGGGCTTCAACGTTGACACCTTGCCTGGCGACACTGCAGCAGTCACAACAGCACCTATGCACATGCCACCTGGAAGTGCATCTCGATAACCTGACTTACGATCCCATAGGGTGAACCTTTGACCACCGTGGGATGGATTTTTCTACATGCAGACAGATACCGCTAAGATGCATTTCAAAGAGCTTCTCAGACAGTCCGAGAGATTGAAAAACCAGTTGCTCTTAGCAGTGGCCAATTAGATACTGCATCCTTATACTGGCTCTCCCTCTTCCCCTCCATGGGATCACTCCTTAACAAAGTGCCAGCACATAAGCTTCAAGCTCTGTTTTTGGGGGACCAAAGCTACTTACCCATGGTCAGATTTGTGGCAAGTAGAACAAACTCAACTCAAGCACCACTATAAAAAGAATAGCTTGTTGTGCCTGGGTTGCCAACACTCATAGAAAGGGCCGACCCCTTGAGCCTTTATGTTTATAGAGAAATTTTTGATTTCCAAAGCCTTTTCACAGCAGTAATCCTAACAATGACTCTGTGAGGAAATATAACTAAACCTGAGTTCCAAATGAGAAAACCAGGGCCCAGAGAAGCTTGCTGACTTAGCCTGCATATGCAGCTGCTGCGTGCTATGGCTCTGAGATTCCAACCTTGGTCTTCCAACTCCAAGTATGACATCTGTGCTCTGTATCCCACTGTGATGAGCTGTCCCATGGGACCTCATGGACTATTGTGCTGGGGTCCAAACATGGCTTGGTGAGCTAAATCCACCTCTCCCCTTTATTTGTACTTTGGTCCACATATACTGAGCAGCAGGGATGGAAAAGTCCGAAGGTTCTGGACAAGCCTGAGAAAGGTGCTACCTAGGGGGCTGCAGGTTGCTTCGGGATGCTGGCACAGCCTCAGGAAGTCTGAGGGTGTGGGGTCAGAAGACTCCAGCTCAGACAGTTCGGAAGCCCCGTTCAGCCACAGATCTGCACCTGGGCCCCCCAGGAGCTCTAGCTCCTGCCCTCGTCAGCAACAGGGAAACACAGGGACTATCCCTCCCCCCAATTCTTGATGGCCACAAGTGGCCCTTCCTGCTGGCAGTGGCCAGCCCCGAGGGAATCTGAGGCTG